AAAAAAAAAAAAAAAATTATTTCTCTTCAATATTTATAAATGTTTCCATGTGTATAAGGACGACATAAAATACTAATTTGGGCATTAAAGTAAATGCTAAGAAAAGATGTTCAATAACTTTACATAAACAGTTACAGATGAAATTTATGACAATAATCCATATTTGTTTGAAAGCTTATCAACATGGCATGGGATAGAGAGAAAATTTGACAATATGAAACATTTGGCAATTTTAGAATAGGATAAAATGGGCTAGGCTAGAATCTTACAACGGAAAGGACAATTCAAACGCCCGGAGCTCTGGACATAACTAATATCAAGATTATATTTGTTAAAAGATTGCTGAACTCAGCAAATCTTTCCAGTGCAGTAGTAAAGGTTTCCAGCATGGTCTCAATAACTTCCTCTTTTACAGGATTTTCTTATTTTATTAATGTGTCTATAATTAAGCAAAGTAAAGATCATCGTCTGCTCCCAGTCTAGGCATGCAATTCTTTTTTTTCTCTTTTTAAAGATGTGGGGTACAATTCAGGGTTAGGTATACAAATGTTCATTATACAGGTACCCTTGTTGATGAGGTGTGCCCCTCCCTCCCCTGGCAGTTTCCCTCAATTGCTAATCCCACCCCTCTCTTCCCCAGCATGCAATTCTTACTTGTCCCTCCTGTTAAAAAAAGAAAAGAAAGATTCTTTCAAGGTCTGTCTGACTTTTGGTGATGAGTTAGGGAATTTTAGCTTCAGCTCACTTACAAAACTCGATCTCAGATCAATAGATGAGTCAGACTGTCTGCATATGTTGACTCTGTGGAAGCAATATAAAAATCAGTTGCTGTTTCCATGGCATTATTTACTTACTGTATTCAGAACTTCTTCAGCACAGGCAAATTAAAATAGTTTTAGACTCTATGGCCTTCAGATGAAAGAACAGCTTCTCCCTCTCTCCTTCAAGGTAAGCATTATGCAGACCTGAAATTTCATTTTTCATTGACTATTAAAGTTTATGTTTTTTCCTAATTCAGAATACATTCCACTAAAATTCTGTATGTTCCCTTTACATTTAGCCATGCTATAAGATGACAGGAATATAAGGTGTACTCATCTTTACAAACAAAACATTAGCTGGGCAGGGTGGTGCACATTTGTAGTCCCAGCGACTTGAGATGCTGAGGTGGAAGGATTGCCTGAGCCCAGGAGGTCGAGATTGCTGTGAGCCCTGATTGTCATGATCATGTCACTGCACCCCAACCTAAGTGACAGAGTGAGTCCCCCACAAAATAAATTGCAGATTATTCCCTCCAATGACTCATGGTGAATATGCCTCAAGGGTCAAGAACATGCAGTTGGGCCTGGCTCGGTGGCTCAGCCTGTAATCCCAGTGCTTTGGGAGGCCGAGGTGAGTGGATTGCCTGAGCCTGCAGGTTCAAGACCCACCTGGG